GGCTATTAATGGGAGTAAGTGATAAGCATGGAAGACAGAGTGGGAAATGAGGTTAATATGTGTATATGCATATTTTAATGTTATACATGAGCATATTTGCATATTGGTGGGGAAATCAGATAGAATGGAAAATAGGGAATAAACAAGAAAAAGTAGAGAAAACCAGCAGCAGAAAGCTATATTAAGGAATTACAATACAGAACCAAACAAAAAAATGGGATGGACTTAGGGTTAAAAGCTATAGATCCATTGCTGTCTGCCACCAAGGATCAGTTCTGAACTCCCTCTCTTAGCTGCATTCTAGAGACCACATACAGGATTCAGGAGGTTGGACAGATTGACAAAGAGTGTGCCTTCAGTCTTGAAATCTCTTTGTGTTGGCCCTCTCTTTGGTTTAAGTAATAACTTGATTATATAAATTAAGATGATGTGGTTTGTTGATTTTGATCATATTGACCTATATATAGGAAAAGTAATTAATTCCCATGGTCCCATGGAAGGAGTAAGTTAAGCAACACAATCTAGATTTTGTCTACTTGGCGATGGGCACTGAGACTTACGCTGTTGAAGAGAGATCCCTTAGGGCTCCAGAAATATATAAAAGGCTTAAAGCCATCAATGTGTTTATTCATTTGATTATACATTGAATACTTAATTATTCTGCAGATATGTATTGAGCATCTATTACTTGCTAGCCACTGCTTTGGACAAAGGGGGTGATGAAAATAAGTGAAATCTCTGCCTTCATTGAGCTACACTCTAGGGAGAGAAAGGTAAAGATACACATACTATCATGATATTAAATATACACATATTATAATATGAGGTCTGATAAGCACTATGACTCTTCAGTATAAAATTTAAAAACACAAAACTGACGGTTTGGGCAGCAATCCAGATAGTTTCCAAAAATGGTGATATATTCTATGATACAAATATGAAGTGGTTATTTTAAGTGAACAGAGGACTATATGCACCTGTAATTTAGAACTGATAAGTATAATGCCTGGTGACACATAGTAAACATTCAGTAGGTTTTAACTATTATTATAGGACAGACTATACGACAGACTAGCATGGAGTGAATAAGCAATAAGGGCTTGGGGGAAAAATAAGCCCTAAACTTAACTAGGAAGGATGAAGAGAGCAGGCAAATGAAGAGGAGGAAAAGCTTCCTAAGCTGAGGGAGGAGCATCTGACAAGGCGAAACAAGTATGATACTGAGGGATACATTTAGGAACCTGTTATTGTTTTGACTGAAGTACAGTTTGTGGCCATCTGAAGAAAAGTGCATTGGAAGAACCAGAACAGGACTCCAGTGTCTTCTAGCTCTGGAGAAGCCAGGAATCATGGTAATGTTGAGGGCGGGGTGAGAACAGCAGTGTCCCCTAATCCTCTCCACTCTCCCTATTAGACTGTAGCTACTAGAAATAACTACCTGGTGCCAGGTATTATACTTAGGGCTGGAGGAAATAAATTACATTTGAAACCTACTTTCAATGAGTTAACAACAACGACATTTTTTTGAGTAATTTCTACATACATGTACTGTTTAAAGTGATCCCCGTATATTAATCCATTTAATCCTTAAAACAACTCTATCAGCTAAATAGAATTCTTATCTCCTTTTTATAAGTGAAGAAACTGAGGCACAAAGTTGCAAGTCTTGTTCATCATTGTATTCTTAAGGCCAGGCATACTGTCTGACATCAGAATTTTTCAATACATATTTTTAATGAATAAATTAATAATGACCAGATGAATCATGTCAAAAACTGGGTTTGTTGGGGCCAGGGTTGCATGTACATAATCAGGTCACTGTCTCCCTGGTTATATTGTGAGATGATTATAGGACAATGGTTCTCAAACTTTCTGATGCATGATTTCCAGAGGCTCTTGCTAAAAATCTTATTAGGTCTAGGTAGAAGCCCATGAATCTGCATTTTTAATAGGGATCTCAAACATTTTATTCTAAGATGATACCTGAACAAATTCTGGAAAACAGAAATTTGCTGTGCACCATGAGTTGATAGTCATTGGAGCTAGATACAAGACAAGTGATGGTGGTTGTGGCTCAGCCTATCAAAGGAAGGAGAAGGGGAATGGTGACTTCTAAGAAGTATAAGGAAATCATCAAGTGCAGTGGAATGGTGGTTACCTATCTCCTTCATCCATATTGCAGGGGTTCTCAACTTCAGTTTATTGACAATTTGAACTTTTATAATTCTTTGTTGTAGGACAGCTTTCTTTTCAGTTATAGAATGTGTAGCAGCAACTCTGGACTCTAACCCTAGATGCCAGTAGCTTATGCCTCCCCCGCACCCCAGTTGTGACAACTGAAAATATCTTCAGATATTGATAAAGGTCTCATGGGGTCAAATGACTCGAGTTGGAAATGACTGCCACAATGGAAGACAGCGAGCTTTCTCCAGTCCCTTAGCGGTAGCAATTTCTGGCCTTCTAACCTAGAATCATGCATGACACCTGATCTGTTTTCTCTTGAGTATTACTCTGTGAGACACTCTGCTTTTTTTTGACAAGTATAGTATACTTACTTGGCTTTTTCCAGGACTCACAATATGTGTCACCGCCCCCCCCCCATCTGGTTTATTAAATCAAATGAGACAGACTCTCAGGGTCAAGACATGGCTGATATCCAAAATAATTATTCCTTCTTCGGGTTCTGGAGGGCTCAGATCCCTTTTACTCAGTTTACAGGGAATTATAATTAACTATGACAGCAAAATAGGATCAGTTTCCCAGAAGATATATATTATAAAAAGGAAAAAAATCAAAGAGATAGAAATAGTCAGATAAAATTGCTTGAAAGAAAGGAGTGAGATAAATTTGAAAATATTTCAGCATAAAATTGTCAAAAATCTAGAATTTGGAAAATACAGGAAATTTCCCAGTCTGGAAATTACTCCAGTCCTTTATCTTCCATAAAAGTAAACTGGCAACATGTAATCACCCAAGGGTATATCCTTCACCTTTCCTCTCCATTAATTTCTCTTAACTGTTCTCAGCATCTTTCAGTTATATATGGGAACAGTAAGAGTGAAACCTTGTTAAGAATTTTTGATGGAATAACTATCAACTACTATTGTATAACACTATGCAGTATCATATCCCCAGTAATATATGCAAAAATCTTAATCTTAGCATAATGCAAAGAGTAACCAGGCAAGTATTTGCTATTCACTACATACTTCTAGTGAATTAATTCCTAGTTCACTGGCTAATCAGATCAGTGAATTAGTGTGGGCATCCAATGAAACAGTTAAATAGTTACCCAAAGCACATTCTTTTTTTTTTTTTTTAAAGATTTTATTTATTTATTTAACAGAGAGAGATACAGCAAGAGAGGGAACACAAGCAGGGGGAGTGGGAGAGGGAGCCCGATGTGGGACTCGATCCCAGGACCCTGGGATCATGACCTGAGCCGAAGGCAGACGCTTAACCGACTGAGCCACCCAGGCGCCCACCAAAGCACATTCTTAATTAAAGCAGAAAAAAAAAATCTACTCAGATTTATATTGACTTCAACTTTTAACTAAATTTATTCACCTCGGAATCTATTATAACAAACTTTATTGTTAAATAAATTATTTGGTATGAGCTACCTTGACTAACATGCTTTGTTGAAGAGAATAATGCTGCCTAATTAACGTTTAGTAGGAGAAGAAAGACAAGGAGGTCAATACTATTTTCAGAGGAGACCAAAAAGATGGAGAATCAGTCAGAGAGAAGAGAAAAGCCCAGCACTGCACCATCTGTTATTTTGGGCCAGGAAATATCTGTAACCTTGTTACCCCCATCCAGTTCCTTTAAGTGATTTCAGAAGATAAGGTAGCAACAGTTACCTTATGCTCATGCACAAACACTGTTACTTCTGCCTTGAATTGTTTGCCCGGAGACAAATACTCTCAAGTAACTCCGTGGTTTTTACTTGCCCTTCACCCCTGAATCTGGTCAATTCCAGGTGGTTGTGGGGTGATCAGCGAGACAGCCAAAGACTCCAACTCCAGGTGGCTTCAGTGGGAAGCAGGGATTGAGGAAAGCATAAAGGCAGAAGACGGCTGGGCAGAGACAGCCTGCTTCTACCACCACCACCGTCTTCGCCCGTACAGTTGTTCAAGCTGCCAGAGGCTTCTGGTTGCCATGGCAACTGTTGGGCTCTGCTGCAAACTCAAAGCAGAGCCTCTGAAGTTAGGTACCAAACACGGAGCTCAACATACCGGAAGGCAACTGGGGAGGGAGCAGAGAGCAAGGATTGCCCATGTAATAGGTCTCCAACTCCTATGGCTAAAAGGACCATTTTAAAATAGAATTTTTGTTTATGTTTCTGTAAAATGCGATAGTTCTTGCTGGGCGTTATTCATGAGCATCCTTTGGTGCCCTGAGAGAGGAGACTGCCAATCGTTTCACTCGTAAAGGCAGCGAAAGGGGGGTTGGAAACGTGATTACCAGGAATGCACCGAGCCCGCTCATTCATTCATTCAATTAGATATTCAGCCTCTCCTGAGAGCTCATTTGTGCCGGGCACTGTGCCAGGTGCTGGGACTGCAAAGCGAAATGAGACACCGCCCAACACTCAAAATTAACGATAATTAAACATTAGCAGAACCTTCGTGAGCCTGGGGAAAACCGATTAGGTATGTAAGCTTGCCACGGGTCTCTCTGGGAAGGCGGATTCAGAATTCAAACGCGGGAGAGAAAGAGGCAGTGGCCCCCGAAATAGTGTCAGGCAGGAGGGTAGGCCAGGGGGAAGAGGGAGGCTTCTTCCCCTAGGGAGGGATTCTGTCGAGGCCACTCAAACGTTTCTCCGAGGCTGAGAGAGAGAGAGAGAGAGAGAGAGAGAGAGAAAGAGGTTTGTTTTTCTTTTGGAAAGACGGAGCCCTTTCCCCCACTGGGCTCGATTTCTAGTAGGAGAAGCCCCGCCTCTTTGGGCCTTAGATTGGCCCGACTCTTTTTCAGATAATTTATGCCAGCATCCTCTGGGTCTGATTGGCTCCCCGGCTCGATTCCGCTGCGAGTCGCATCCTACCTGGTTGGGAGGTGTACTGCTTTGCCACTCTCCCCCGCCGTACTCTCCTGGCTGCTGCCTAGGTGCGAGAAAAAGTCCTAGCTTGGAGAACTGAGCGGAAAAAGCGATCCTGATGGGTTCTTGGAAAGCTTTTCTCTTCTCGCCTTTTCTTCTGTGGAGTCAAAGTAGAGTGGTGAGGCTGATGTTCTTGTTACTGACCCTGCATCTGGGAAACTGGTGAGTAAATTCAAGGACTTAAAACTATTCTTTGGGATCAACCCCCTTCCCCCTCATTTCTTTTCTTTTCTTTTCTTTTTTTTTTTTTGAAAACCATTCTAAGTCAAGTAAGTAGCATTTCTCTGGACACAAGCGCGGTATTTTACCATCATTTTATTTTCTGGTCAGATACACTTATTTTCAGATAGGATGAGACGAGCCTATGTATGAAAGCATGGAAGGCAGTTCAGTTTTGGATTTGTTTTGTTTTGTTTTGTTTTGGCTTGTTTGACTTGGCATAGTAGAAACTAGTAAAGGTTCAGTTCCAGGGAGATGGAGTAAAAATGATTTTGCTACTAAATTTAGCGAATGAATGTCACTGATGAACTTTCTGGATAATTCTGCATTTTAAAGAGAAAGTTATTTTAGAAACTTGTTACACAACACGGTATGTATGATGATTTTCTATAAACAAATATTGCTTTTTCTCTTACCTTTTTTTTTTGCTATTCTGGAAAAACCCAAAGTTACATATGGAGAGAGATTATAAATATGGCTTAAAAATCAGGGTTGAGAGTGTGTTATATTTAAGTTAGAGATAACCATGTATATTTTATTGAGCTATCTGAATAATTTTTGTTTTAATTGGTTATCTACAAGGAGGTAAAAAATTGTATGGATATGAATATGTGTGTGTGTGTGTGTGTGTGTGTGTGTGTGTGACAAAGAGAGAGAGAGAGAGACATTAGCAACCCCAAGCCTCCAATTTAACAGGAACAGGATTTGGACTCCTTGGACTGTAATATCTTCCAATAAAACTTTGAAATCGTTCTGACAGAAAAATAAAATGCTCAGGTATTGTACCTGGATATAAGAGTAGTGGCTGAATGGAGTTAAAATATATTAAGACATAGACACTATTAAGGTCTTGGACATACTATTCATATCATGTAACTGTATTTTATATAAATGTATATTTAACATATTATTGTATTATGTGATCTTGTTTAGAACTCAAGTAAAATGCAATCACTATGCAGATGGAAACATGTCTTTATAACTACTTGCATCATTACTAAAAAAAAATGATGATGATGATTAATTTTACTATACAGCTAGAGTGAATATTTATGTCATTACCAGCAGATAGAACAACTATATTTTCTCTCCAAAAACAGAGAATAGATTAAGCTATGCTAAGCAGTATTTGACTGGCCAGAAAATGTTTGACATATGATTTTTTTAAAAAGTATTACGGTTTTAATTTATTTACCCTTTCCCCTTAGAAACTTAAATTTGTTCTGCATGGGCATGAACATACTACTGACTAATTATTTCCTGTATATAAGTTGTATCATAATCACTTATTTCTTTGAATATATTGTAAAATTATAGAAGATATTTTGGTCAATCATGTATCAGTGTTTTCATGCATCTTCATAATATTACAAATGAATCTGTATTCTCATAAGTAAAAACAGATTTACCCAGTGGTTTTCTGAAGTAACAACCTGTATGCTCCTTTGCCATTGTAAGTGCAAGTTTCCCTTGGAACCTAATAGACAAGCTGATTGATGAAATATCTAAAACAAAACATCTAAAGAGATAGTAAAGAAATCATATCTTTTGTTTTTGAGGCTATTTATATTACAATTATCATAATTGGCTCCAGAACTCTCTTCAAGTTGCTCAGAGTAAAAGAGTTATGTAGTATAGTGGACAGAGATGGGTTCTGGAAGTCTAGAGACATGATCTGTGTCAAGAGTCCTTACCCTCTTTGAACAGTTAATTCATCTAGGAAATGAAGGGCAGTAGGAGATCACTTATGCTTTCTACAAGTTTTCATATTCAGTATGTTTTAGATTTGAACTGAAACATAAAACAACTCAATCGTTGCTCTATTGGCTTTTCTTTGCAGTTTTCAAGAGTGAAATTCTAATTGGAATTCCATGTACTTTTTTTTTTTTTTACCATATGTAAGAGTGAGTGAGAGAGAAGTGTTATGCAGTTAAAATAGATAAATAATTCATTTTATCATAATAGTATAGATGATTTGGATTATTTTGGCCAAACAATAAAAGAATATTAAAAAAAATAAAGCTATATGTTGCTGTTATAATTAGCTGTCAGGGCCTCCATGATGAGAGTTTATGTCTTTAAAGTATCTACAGTTGTGGTGAAGTTTTCACCCTTTTAATATTTAGCTGGAGATAATGGGTGTCAACATGTATAAAACAGTTACATTCATATTTCCTTCTCCCTTTCTCCTTCTTTTGAGGGACGTTTCTTTTAAAACTAATCACAAATGGTTCTGTTTATAAGAATTCTGTTGTCATTGCTGGTTTCTAAAATAAATCTTCAAAGTCACCTATTTGGGGATTTGCCAAACTGGAAGTTGTTATTTCTTATATTTAATCAGAGACAATAGCTTGTTTCCTCATTAGTTTCCATCAAATGCATAAAGGAGAGACACTATTGATTTTTATATTGCTGAACTATGAAAGCCTATCCTATTGTTGTAACTAAAAGCTGTAGTCAAGGTTCCTGTGTTTCGTTCTCTGTGAAGCTCTATGGCATCTTGACAAGTTGGTTAAAATCTCCTAAGCTTGATTTGACTTATTTATAATGTTGAGAAAATCTAACTATAATCAGATTTTTAAGAAGCGTTGAAAAAAGTGCTTGGAGGTTTTAGTTATTCTAAAAAGTATTTATGATAAGCTTTGATTAAGAAGTTATATTTTGAGAGAGCCCAGGGAAAATAACTTGTTTTTTTTTTTCCCCAATTTCATGAGTCAATAATCATACAACTTAGCAGTCAGTTGCCAAAATGAAAATATTCAAATACACTTCCTTTATAAAATATATTATTTTCAAGTAATTTCAGTATTTTGTGGAGGTGGTAGTGATTGATTTTTCTTTAGGCATCTAATTTTTGACTTAATTTTCTAATAAAATACTGATGCAAACTTGAGGACAAAATTACCAAGTAATGATGTTCCATGATAACAGAATATTCAAAGAAGGACCAAGAGACAAAATGTTTTGAAACTAAAATGCAAATACTGTAATAGATCAATCCCCTGTGTATAGAGTCTTATAGGTATATCCTTCTATTTTGTTCCATTATATACTATGGGACATACTTTTGCCTAAGCAACAAAAGGAAATGTTTGACTTTTCATTCAATCATTAAATAGGCTAATCTAATATTTTATAGTTATATAAAGGTGATTAAAATTTGTCTAAGAAAGTATTAATGAAGGCAGGGTCCCAAAGGAGAGGGGACAAGGCAGGGTGGAAAAGTGGGGGGAAAAAAAGCTCTTGAGATATTATGAAAATATGATAAATGACTGCCATGAGGGAAAGAGGAAAGGTGTGCATAAATTAAATGTATGGGCCTCAGGGGAATAATTCACATATACACAAGGTACCAATTGAGAATCCTGGACTTGGCCATGAGAATGTAAATTCTAGTTCTAGCTCCACCATTTCCCACTAGGGTAATTTCAGGAAAATCTTTGAGGCAGAGAGTCCTCATTTGTGAAAATGGAAATGAAATTCTCCTTCCTAGCTTGTGTCAAGACCAAGAGAGAAAATTATTGCAAAATACATAACACTTAAAATTTTAACTGAAAAGATATAACAACAGATATTCTGAGAATTACAGTGATTCTAGTATTATTTATGCTGGTTAAAGTTGTCTCAAGTGCAGTAAAGTCCTTGAACCCTTATGCATTATTAGATATGTTTTGGATTCTGGAGAGATCATTCATTCTTTTATTCAACAAATATTTCTTGAAAGCCTGTTATGGGCCATACACAGTACAACATGCTGGGTTTACAGTGGCGAGCAGACTAGACCTGAGTGTTACCTGTATGCAGTTTATACTCACTGCTAAGGCCTAGATTTATGGTATTAATCAAAGCAAAACATCTTGTAGTCACAATAAAGAAACATACATTCAGAACTCCCAGGATGAACAGAACAGTCTGCTATTAGAACAGATCTCAATCAAGGAAAGAAAATTAGAGAGCCATGAGATTTCTCATCACAGTACCAGAAGACTATGGGGGAAATGGCTCCAAGATTATAAAAACAAATGTTCAGCCTAGAACGTTACACTTAGCCAAGCAACCAATCAAGTATGAAGGGATAATACTCCTTAGATACTGTTCTTTTCCCCATTTTGCAGATGGGAAAACTGGGGCACAGCAATTTTTAGGAACTTGCTAAATATCTTCTTGCTGATAAATGCTGAATCCAAGACTCAAGTCCATGTGTTCTATGCCCAGAGCCTGCATTCTTAACCACCACACTTCTCAGATTACAAATGCAATATAAGTCAAAGCAAATAACATGACTATGGATGAGTGGGGGAAAAAAGGATAAGAGGGATGGAAGGAATGAGGAAAGGAAAGAACAGACAATGCAATTGATAGAAACAGAGGAGGTATAAAAATCTACTGTGTACCTATCACATAATCTGGAATATTATGTGCAGTGCTAGATTAATTATTTTCGGAAAAACTTTAACAAAGTGAAGCCCTTGATCTAGAAAAAATATCATAGGATAAAGAGTTAAAAGCAAGAATTTGGAATTCAGATAAGTTTTTTTGAGGACTCAAATAGGAACTTATTTCTAAGGATGCTATATAAAATCATGGTTGAATTTATTACACATAGGTATAGCGGGACAAACCATAACCAAGTAGTGAAAGCTACGTGAACGCAGATTTTCTTTCAAAAGGCCTCTAACAGGGGCGCCTGGGTGGCTCAGTCATTAAGCGTCTGCCTTCAGCCCAGGTCATAATCCCAGGGTCCTGGGATCGAGCCCCGCATCGGGCTCCCTGCTCAGCTGGAAGCCTGCTTCTCCCTCTCCCACTCCCCCTGCTTGTGTTCTCTCTCTCGCTGTGTCTTTCTCTGTCAAATAAATAAATAAAATCTTTTAAACAAAAACAAAAGGCCTAACAAAATAATGGATGCCTTATCACTAGACTTCTTCAAGTAGAAGCTTGTTAGA